ATGTTATGCACAAAGGGCACTTCACGTTTCAGTTTGTACGATATTCCAGATGTGGTCGTAGGCAACTTATTCTTGGACAGTCTTCCTGAAGATGTTGGCTTACCCACACTAGATCCCTTCGCTGTTTTGACACTGTTTACTAAAGACGTAGCAGCCGCCTGACACAGGCGGTAGAACGTTGTCGACGCCAAATTCCACTCAACACAACCTCAATGAGCGCCATACTAATGAGCAGGCTTTCGGCCAGTTAATTTTGCCCCCATCCGCCAACCGGACCTGAAGTATAGGTACACAATGCATGAAAATCACCCTGAGGTTGGCTGGCACCCGATACATTGTGGTCTTTAGCTTTCCTGTGGCCTTATGTTTCATGAAGAATAAGAACATTATTACATCCGAAGTTGGCGCTATTTCCAATCTAAATTTGGCGTGTGGATTTAGGTCACTCAGATATTTGTAAAACCCAATTATCTTGTCTCAATTCATCAAGAGGAAGAAGCCATTTACATAACGCATGAATATCTTGGGTTGGTAGGCTAACTTTGCCATAGCTTTCCTTCCAAAATCTCTCGTAAATTCGCTCGCCGAAGCATGAGAAATTGGAGATCCCATAGCCGTACCTTGTTCATGAGTATAAACCACGGGCGCGAAGGCTGACTGAGATTAAGACACGCTTTTCTACCTACCACTATTTCATCAACCGAAACCTGTGTCATTTACGAAAGGATCGTGTCTGCTGGTAGCACCCGCTTGACTATTTCTAAAGATTCTTCTTTCGTCACATTTTGTTGAAAGGAGGTGACACGAAACTTGCANTTGCAGGAATGCCATGTGGTTCCGAGATGAATCCCAATTACTTTCTGGAAATCATATGCGTTTTCATTGTAAGTGCCAGATTTTTCGGTGACTGGCCCTGGAAAGCCTGCCAAGGATCTGAACAACTCAGAGTCGGGAAACAATTCCGCATACTGTCGACTTCACAGGGATATATAAATTGTGTTTTTGGTGGACCACATAGTCGTGATTGGGTTGAGGTGAAATTTACATTGCCCTGAAGGCTCATCATGCACCGCAAATGCCTCCACTATCGATCACTTAAGGAAACCCAGCTGTGTGATGCTTGGTCTATTCTAGACAATCGTTCCTCTTCATACCGACAGCTGCTCTACCTTTATTCTACTTTGTAATCAAAGTGTTGTCCGACCGTTTTAGGGTATTCAGCTCCGCTGTCGGGGCTTAAATACTGTGATCCGGTACACCAGTAGCTTCTTCGCGCCCGTTGGCAGAATTTTTCAGACGCAGAGTAAACACCAGGGATTATTTCTTCCACCTTAATGACCCCTTTACTTACTTTAGCATTTAAGTCTTAATCTACTAGAAAACGGTTTTCTCCCTCCGGTGGTCTATGTGATACATTCACCACAGACAAGATCTAGTAAGTGGGTTCCGCTTGGTTATGGAATCTTTTGAAAAAAGGCTTACAAAGTGAACTTTCAAATGTATGTGTCTGTTTTTGAGGTATTATCCTCGGACGGATTCTTTTCCGTTTAGTTTTGCGTAAATAAAAACCCGGCACGGGGAAGCGCCATTCAGACAGTACCTTGGCAAGCAACAGTAACATCCGTGTAGAAATTGCGCGTCACTGCCGAACAAACGCATAGTTTATTTAATTACATTGGAAGCCAAAGTTTAGAAAAAGGAAAGAAGTAAATACTAGGCTATTGCCGTAATCACTTGCAGACGCTCCTCTTGTTCTTCCTAAAGATTGGGTCTATTGTTTCCGTTACCCTGCTTTCGTCCCATAGATTCCTTAGTGGGGTCTTAAGAGCATTCAAAAAGACTCCATCGTCTGTGAGAATTGCCGGGTTCGGACCATCCAGGCCGGATTTCCAGTAGCATTGGAGGAAAGGTAACTTGCGCCGGAATACTGTTGTTGGTGGTACGATAGCACTGACGTCCTGTCTTTGTTCACTGAGTTCTTTCAAAGCTTGTGTTGAAGGGGCCATCTGAAACGCTCTTCATCCCATGGCTCAAGCACCCGCTGTGGAAGCACCCAAAATGAGAAAAACGGCACAATAAAAATGTACTTGCATTTGCCGAGCATTAGCAGGGTTGTTGGTGAGATCTATCTGAATTTTGTTCAATCGGCGCGCAAGTAAGTAATAGGTATTTGTGGAGGCAACGATAGTCTAGAGAAAATATATCAAGGACATCCGGGTGTGTTCCGTCGTCAACGGATTTAAGACCAGCCAAGATCATCATCAAGCATACTATGTGTTAAATCATTCTTGCTTCTTTATTTGACCAATTTGTTGGCTCACTCACGAAGTTGTCTGGCGTAGACTCCATGGAGCATCTAGAATTCTACACAAGTAATACGGAAAGAAGCATTCATTCATATAAAGATAAATACGAGTGCAGTTTTAGTCAATTTTCTGTAAGTTGAACAGCAGTTGCTTGAAGAGAGCTTCATGATATCCACTGGTCCATTTTCACCGGGCACAAAAGTGGGGTTTTCCGGGTTTTCCTCCAGAAACCTATTAATATACTTTCAGTCCAGTCGCCTTGCGGCGTCAAATTCAATTCAAAACGCGTTGGTACACCAAGAAGTTAGGCATTTCGCAGAAAATATAAATGAATCAGAGAACGCGTCGCGAAGGTAAAAGCTTCGGCCGTAGGACGAAGCTTTGGGAAACTGAAACAAATTTGGTGAAGAAAGGTGGGTTAATCCTAAGGTTGTCTTTCAGGTAATGTGTAACTGCAGTGTAGGATAACACATCGAGTCGCATGGGTCCAAGTTTGTAAATTAGTGTGGCGTGCAAAACTCCCCTGATTGCTTTTGAGATGTCAAAAAGTGCTACGTCCAATTATTGTCGTCTTTCTTTGGCTTGGTTAAGATGTCCATGATCACTAGAATGTTTGCTGCGTCAGAACAGTTTTTAGAAGTAATCGCGTTGCGCTGTGGATAGCAGGCTCTTGGTAAGGCGACCATTTACAATCGCGCGCTAACAAATGCATCCTCTTGCAGGATTGCTGGTGAGGCTAGTAGCCTATAGTTGATCACCAGATTTGTATATTGGTTTGACAAACGCTTCCTCCCAAGCAACTGACGAAGCATCAGGCCGAAATATGTGGCTAATCCTAGTGGTGTTTCCCTCAAAATCCCTGGAGGCGCAATTTCCTGGCCAGTACGCTGAAAAGACATATCACGCGTGAGAGTTCAGGACAACCTCCTCCTGAGAAAACACGCAGATTGAAGTTAGTGATAGTTCCTCCTTTTAATTACTGGGTTTGATAAAGTCTCTGGGGTAGAAAACAGGTCTGCGTTACTTTGGCTAGAGTTACTATGTCGGCCACGGTTATCCGCCTCTGTCTGTCAGGGAGAAAGACTTTAGTTTGTCAGTGTCCAAGTATTGGTTGCTTAGACTGACCCGTTCCTCGGGTTGAGCAATTGCCAAGCTCAGCGGCCAGCCATTACCTCTATACTCTGGTAGTGTCCGGTGCACTTCAATAACTGACTTAAGATCCCCTGCCACAATTATTTTCTGTGACAAATTTCGTGAGTTCGGTAATGGATGCCTGATTTACAGTGGTTCTGCATCTTCAGAAATCCAAGCTCATCCTCCATGCCTTTAGAAGTATCTTCTAAGGAACATTTTGAACCTAATTTCTAAAAAAATTGCGTATTCATTTAGGTAGTGCTTGGTTTGTTTGACCAAACTCTGGCTTCACCGGAACAAATACTGCAACTATTATTTTTCTGGTTCGGTTTGACCCTGATTGGGCCGATCACAGATTTGATTGCCCTGTGAAGCCTGCGTTGCAATTATTTCATCGAGATTGACAGCTTAAACTGAATATGCAACACAGTTTTACACTGCCTTCCATAAATTATTTGAAAGAAAAATGGGGTAACATGGAACCACTTTGGAAAAAATGTTTGCACTACCTGATACAGTCGAGAGTTTTCAGGGGTGCAGAGTCAAATCCCCTGTTGGAAGGCGCCATCGACTTTCGTCCGCAACCATTTCCGTCACTGCACTAAGTACACTCCAGGAATCTTAAAAAACAACATTAACCCGCAGCCCTCCAGAATTGCCGACTCATTTAATCAACGGAAAGTAAACCTTACAGGCGTAACTTATTTTCAACTTTATTACTAGTCTTCCTGGCCTGGCTTTTCAATCACTCTGTGCCAAATATCTGCGCCCATGCAATCAATGTAAGAGCCATCTCTTCCTTGGACAACTTACTACAAAATAGAAAAAACGTATTGCCACCTTCGCGAATCGGGTGCGCAATATTGTGCCGCCCAATATTTTGATCCGGTTTTGATTGCCGAAAACGTATTGAACTCATCATCTTCTTCCCTGAGTAACCCGGACCATTGACAACTGATATCGAACAGTGATATTTGATCGCCGAAAATGTGGAACGGTTTTGTGTCAACTTCGTCAAAGCTGAGAACTCAGGGAAGTCTGATGAGAACGGCGTTTTCATAGTGTTCATGGCGTGATATGTAGTATAATCAAGACGTTGGTCTGGCTTTCTACACATCAGTAAACCTGAAAAAATCGGTTTCTACCAATTCTCTGAGCCACTTCGGATGAGAATATATAGGATAACCATGGAGTGAGTCAAATGCAAGTCACATGGTTGAATTCGCGCCCCCGGCTGGATAAAAGAATATCCACCAGCTGCTTGTGTATGGGTATGCAGTCTCTGATTCAGCAAATCGACGAATTTTATGATTCTCTCAAGTGCTTTCGTAACCGTTTCCATAATTCCCAGAGGCTATATAACTCGACAGCCGTCATAAGTACTTGATAGCCAGCTTTAGCAGCGGTATTGCTTCGGTTCATTTATCGGTTTCATTCAACCGAGCTCGCATTCCCTGCACAAACGCCAAGTGTACGTATAGTGCATACACGTATTCATGAATTGATACCCAGGATGGAGGCATTTGCCCAGGTTTCCTCGGTCTTTTTTGTTTCTGTCGTTCAGCGGCTGTGTTCATCAGAAAGGCACAAGCGAAAAAGGGGTGAATCACTGCTCTTTATGACCTCAGCGCGGGGCAGTAAGTTTGTCGGCGCGAGGACTAGAGAAGAGGATCGCCTGGATACTATATAGAGCGTGTACTAACGTCAGAAGTTATTTCACACACCCGCTACACGAAGGGATAAAAAATGCCTTATGAATATGTACACTCTAAGCTTCAATATCTTAACATGTACCTACCGTGTTTTGCTGGGTCAATGGTGAAGAACCTGTTGGCCAAACCTTGTTCAAACAGGGTAAAAGTGATGATAAGGTAGTGAGTAAGTAAGCACGTGAGAATAAGTATGAACAATTTGTCATTAGGTCTCCTCGGAGGTGACGAGACTCCAAGCAAAAAAGGGGTCAAACATCGCGAGATGCTTTCAATCTTCCATTGGTTCAAGGCCCGCAACCATTTTCGTAACTCGCTGGACACATCCAAAGAGGGTTGCGTCTCTCTTGCATCATGAGTAGACAGTTTGGTTGGCATATTCACACAAAAATTTCTCTCGGAAATTATCCCCGTGATGTCTTCTGGTCCCTTCACACGATGCAAGAAAAGGGCGTTCGCTGAGTCCCTCTGAGTGACATATGGGTGCACTATTCGTGATTCAGGTGCCAGTATGACAACTGCCGTTCTGTAGCGTCTCTATCGACTCGGAGGGCACCGCCTTTTGAGCTCCAGAATTCAAGGCCATTCGCGAAAAGCAGACATGGACTTGAAAGAATGTCGTCGATGTAGACAACATAGACATCGTTTCAGACGTCGCCTGAAACAGTAGTTGTTCCAAAACGGAGCCTGTGACGGATTGATACACAGGATCGAGTCTTTTACCCAAGTTTCCCGGGTCGGTTTTGTTCCCGTCGGTCAGTCGCCGTCGTTCACCTGAAAGGCACAAGTGGAAAAAGGGTGTAG